TTGAGATGATAAAGCAAGGTCTGACAACGTTTAGAAGAGTTGTGCTCAGGGTCCTTGAAATACTCATGGGCCTCGGCAAGCTTCGGCCCACAAATCAACAACTCCTCCTCAGAATCAAAGGTGCCTTCTCTAAAAATCTCTCCCTTAGCCTCACGCTTCAAAGCAGAGCGAAGCGCCTCACGCATTCTCTCAACACTAACAGACAGCGGAAAACCAGCGTTCCTGCCTACATTGAGCTCATAGAGCAGCTCGTCCTTCTTAAGCCTCTCAACTTCCATGGTCAGTCCTTTCAATGGTATACTGTTGAGTGTCCTACCTTTAACCGCAACACACCAGGAACAGCAAGCAGCGCAAGTCCAAGGTGAAAATCAGCAAAGCGGAAAGGTGTCTCAAGTTGGCCAATCACAGAAGGAGCACAGCACCTGCCACAGTCCAAGACGTTTAAAAAGCGGAAGGCACAAGAAGCATAACTAAGCTCAAATATAAATGCAAATAAGAGCAAACAAGTACAATATCAAAGTAAAAGAAACAATAACCTCAAAGGTGCAGACTCAAATACAAGCTCAAAAGCAAAAGCTAGAGGTATACAATATAAACACTTAATTATTACAAGTGCCTAAGATAATAGAGAATTACAATTCTAAATAGTGATTACAAAAGTAAACAAAAGAACTGTAAACAATTACAAAACTAGCCCCACGTTGGGCGCCAAAATGTAACCTCAAAAATAAGTAAAGCCCAGAAAGCTAAAGTTAAGTTATTGTTAACCGCTCCGGCAAGCCAGGTGGTAGGTTGGGAGGGTACGCTTTGACTTAAAAGTCCTCAAAAGAAACATGGGCGCCAGGTGACAAGTCACCGTCAAAGGAAAAGGCTACTAGTAGGTCTTAAATGGTTTAACAATAACAAGTGGCTTTAATAATGCAATGGCAACAATATCACACAATGTAGGAATACAAATACTGACTCCAGAAGAACCTCAAAACACAAAGTTCAAACACTAAAACTAAAATATGAACCACAAGTTCACAACTTCAAAACCAGAGGCCAAAAGCCATACAAATACTTAAATTAAAAACCAGAGGACCAGCCTCTAACTAGAGCAAAACTCGCTCCATATAATCTCTATAAACAAGGCTCTAAACACAGCCAACAACAAACTCAAGAACAAACAAGTTCCTCCCTCAATCTCTCAAAGTCTCAACTCAAAACGCGGCTCAAATGTGAACCAGAAGTAAGCATAGTTGTTCTAGTAAAACTAGAGCATTCAGAATGATTAAATATTAACAAATACTAAACATGTTGACTCAACAACACAGAACCAAACAAAAGGGTTCTAAACTCGCAAAACAACGAGAAAATCCTCAAGGCTCTTGAGAGAAACAACGTCACATGAGACGAGACGAATCATAGCAGGCAGAGCCATAAGGTTAAAATCAGAAGTAAAACATGAACACATGTCAAGGTAGAGAGCATAACCTCGAACATCACCATAAACAAATACAGGTTATATCATAACCAAGGACCCTGAAACAAGAGACATACAGGACACTCAGTATACCGGACATAGACCAGGAATAAATCATGATTCTTCTGAGGCATTAAATATCAACTCACCGATCAGGTGTTATAATCAAGCACTGGGATCCATGAGGAACGCCACAGTGACATCGGGTCCAAAACCAGAGCTCCTAAAATCCATCATTCTCAATCAATATATTTTCTCCAAAATAATATCATCATCCTAGTTAAATGCCGAGACTCACCAAGCAATAAAAGAAAGTGAACAAATCACTAATAAAAAGGAACTCGGAGCAAACAGATCAACACCTGGGCGGAGCACATGGAAACAGGAGGTTAGGTGGGCCGCTCATATATACATCTCACGTATAATCTCTTCAGAATTAACTGGCACTCACCGAACATCTCTCCAATCCAAAATAAAGCATTGCTGATTCCAAAACTGAAGACGGATAAGTCCCAGATAAAATAATATCACGGATGATCTCAGATAAAATCACTTGCTCTCCACTACATGTTCTCTCCACGGAATCGCAGACCGGAAACTGACTGTCACCGCTCTCACTGCTTCCCAGAACGTTCCCGTGGCGCCGCGCGCCAAAAGAGCCAGTATGGCAAACTGTCATGGCCGCTTCTCGCGCCAAATCTCCAATATGAGAATCAGGCATGGCCGCTCAGCGCGCCAAATTCAAAAGGTATGAAAAACGTCACGAGGAGGGAAGGGTGGGAAATTCGAACTCGAGCGCACAAGCGCGAAGCTTAAAACTGTACCGTTAGGCGCCTCAATTTAAAAACCAACGGTCACCTTAGACTACGGACAGATAAAATAAAAATGGAAGGAAAAACCAACCAGTAACGAAAGTGATCGTTACAGGGGGTCATTCAGGGAGGAACAAACTGAGGTAGGGAAAAGTAGCCATTCCCGCAGACGCGACATTTTTGGAGATATCCCAGCCTATCCCAGCCTCACGGTGAAAATGACGCGTTCTGCACGGTAACGTCGTTTTCACTGTGTGATGTTCAAGCAGTTTGGGGGGAAACAAGACGTCCCCATATGCATTTTTTCCATAAGGTGTCTCACGGGCTCTTGGCTTTTCCAAAACTCTTAAAAAACCAGGACGCGTCGTTTTCACGTTTTCACCGTCCTATATGTTCACTCTAGTGAAACCAAGGTTCTCTTAGAACCTGGTGTACTAGCAGGTGAGCGTTTACGCCCATCTCCTTTGTAGAGCAACGAAGTAAAACGAATCTCACTCAAACACACACACACACACACACACACACACACACACCAAAATAAAAAGCGAGTATCGAAAACTTTTAATCCCCCAAGTCTAAGATCCTCCGTAATTTTGAGTGACTTATGGAAACGTTCCAAACAGCCAAGGATTATTTCACATAAAACGGGGAGAGGAAGAAAGATAGAGAGAGAGAAAGAGGGAGAGAGGGAGAGCCGGAGACGCTCAAACAAGGAAAACCTGGTGAGTCAACCGCAAGCATTTTGGTCTATAGGGACCGTGGTGCGGTTCGGCGTGGCGGGGGAGGCGGGGGAGGGCGATGTTGGCATTGTGGTTTACTTACACAGCTCTTTCATTTGGGCCCTAAATACGTGTGCACACACACGAGCGGTGCCCGGAACAAAAGGAAAGGGTTGAGAAGCTCGCTCGCTCACGAGTAAGTGTGTGTGTGTGTGCGCGCGCGCGCACGTGTGTGTGTGTGTATGAAAGGAAAAAGAAAAGGCACACGAAGCACTGACACGACGACTCGACGGCTCAAACGCACAGAGAGTAAGAAAGATGACACACAGTATAGGCCGACATCGCGCGCGCGCGTGCGCACACAGCCGCCCGCGCTCTTCAACTAAGAGAAATAAT